ATTTAATAAAACAACATCCGTAATATATTTTTTATTAATTATTTTTAATGAAATTTAATGAAAAGAATTATACAGGCTTTAACAAAAAAAGATGAGTCATATGTGTCAAGATGGGCCAACATTCTTGACTTATAACAAAAGAGGCCAAGCATGTATCGGCTTGTAAGGCCAGTCTTGTAGGCCTATCCATCTTTTTTTGTTTTATTTTAAAGGAGTAGATGACTTTTAAAAAAAAAATAAAGTAAATAGAGTGTCATTTAGTAGCATGATCTTAACCACCTCAAATGGTCAAAAAGTTAAGCTCCACATTCTTCAACCAAAAATATCTTTTTTAACCTAAAAAAATTGAAGAAAGTCTCCCATAAATCTCGATAAACCTATACTTAATCTCAACTTAACTTTTAATTGGTCTAAAAACTAAAAAATAACCTCAATTCAAAAAAATAATCCTAAGACTCAATCTATTTTTTTTTGGCAAGATGCAAAGACCAAAGACACCTCAACAGAAATCGTTATATAAAATAGAATCCATTAACACCAAATCTAGGGATTGAAATGTGACCACTTTCTCTCTTCTTCACTGTTTCTTGATTACATTCTCTCTCCTTCGTTATTTTACAATGACATCCTCTCTGAAACTCAGGAATTCAAACATGGATAAAATATTTTGGGTCAAAAATAAAATTTCAAAACCAAAAGGGTCATGGAACAACAAAAAACTTTGCTTGGAAGACGTGTCATTCTTTTTTGTATGTTTCGATTATCAGTCCATATATCTAGATCCCAAAAACTCATTTTCAACTTGTTTTTACCTAAAATTGTCTTATAAACATTCTAGAAATCTTTATAGACTTATTTTAAAGCCTAAAACACTTTTTAAATATTTAAAAACTCAAAACCAAAATGAATAAAAATAAACTAAAGAGTCTTCGTCTATGTTTTTCAACATGTTTAAAGGTTGAAATGACCTCTATTAAATCTCCCTCTCTGATATGAAATCATTAACACCGAGTTCTTCAATTTTAATGGCTCAAATGTAGTTAATGGATAACTTTCTCTATTTTCACATTCTTTTAGAGAACGTTTGGGAACGTTGTGCAAACCATGTTCGTAAAAAATTTATTTTTTTAGTAAAAATTAATATTTTTGTATATTTTGAATCATTTTAATACGCTAATCTCAGAAATGATTCTTAAAAAATAAAAATAAAAATATTTTAATGCATTTCAGCATGAAAAACACTTTGAAAAGTAATAACAACCATACTTCCAAACAGTTTCTTAGACCTTCTCTATTTTTTTCAACATCAAGAAACTAAAAATATGACAAAACTGAAATGTAAAATTTTCAAAACAATAGGGACTAAACAAGTATATTTCAAAACTTTAGGGATGAATTTGGAATTCTCCAATTTTTTTTGTGTGAAAACAACTCAGTTTTTATTATTGTTAATTTTGATCCTTATTTTTTAAATTTTTTATAAATTTTTATTTTAACAGCTGGGTGAACAATTTAATTTGAGTGTATGAATAGTAACACGACAGTGAAATGCCATTTTCATTTTTAGATTGTAGTATTAATAAGCTCCAAATAATTGGCTTGACTTTAGCAACAAATATTCATCTCATAATTCACAAGTCGATTCAGTGTGGTTTTGCATAGATTTTGTTTTATAGTAGGTCTTGAGGATTTTTTCTTGGGTACGAACAAGGTCCGGTCTATAAAAAGCTCACTAAATCCTGGGGTAATTGTTGGGTATCAAAGGTTTTCCGAACTAACAAGCCTTCTTTTTCTTCTTTTTCTTCTTCTTTTATTTTTTATTTTTTGAGTTAATTGTAACTCTAGTTATCCACTTCATTAAACTAATTAATTAGTCCTTATAGAATACTACAGAAAATAATATTCCATTGAACAGGGTGACCATCTTCAAATTTCTTCATGTTACTTAATTCTCTTTTCTTTTTATATCTATTAGAAAAGGTAAAATAAATAAATTTAAAAAGAATAGAATTGACGAAGAGACTAAATATGAACAAACTTAGGAACTAAAGGGACTAAATTATAATTCTTTTTGTTTTTTTCTTGCTGCGCTTTCCTGCTATCGTCCCACTAGCCAGGTCACGTGATGGATCGAATGAAAAAACTTGCTGGCCGTTGAAGTAATCATCGAGCCCCTTCGATTCAAGTGGGGTGGGGCTTGAGCAAGTTGCGACTAATGATCTGACTTTCCTCAAAACGCATAAAATTAAGATGAGTAAATACATGTACAAGGTAAACTATGCAGCGTCGCGTTGGTTTTCAATGCATAAAAAATCTCAGTAATCAAGTTAAATTCTTTTATATTTTATGATCAAGCGATATCAGATTCAAACTGGGTCAGTTGTTGTTGAATCTAGTTTGACATAAATCTGAATAAATATGTAAAAGGACTGAGATTTTGATCAAGAACTTAAAGCATATACACTGGCAATTACAATCTAATTAGCCCCAGTGGCAGGGGCGGAACGAGAGGCGGCAAGCAGGAGCCTGGTCCCTGTCCAATATTTTTTTTTTTTTATTTAGTATTTAAATATAAAATAAAATAATATTTTTATTTTAAATAAATAAATTTTTTAATAATATATCTTATTATATTAATTTTAACCTTCCCTGTCAGAGGCAACCAGCTCCGTCCCTGCTCAGTGGCAAGCGGTATAATATGCCTGCCATTCAATATTTCCTGCCGGTGGGCCTCTAGCAAATTCTACCGCCTTGCAAGTGGATTGTATTCAACTAGGAGAATGCCGTACGCGTGTGAGAGCAAAAGATTTTGGAGATATCTATGATAAATCAATATATGTTTATATTGTTTTAAAGGGATTTGAAATAATCCCATTCATTAATTAGAAAAACTAGAATTACCCGAAACATTTGGAAAATATCATGCCGCTTCACGTCGTATGATCAGTGAACCACCTCAATTTTATTTTAATTTCTAAATTTCTTCTTTCAATTAGACCCTTTTGCAATCTAATTTAATGAAATTAGCCTTTTCTTTTCTTTTTCAATTCAACCTCATATATTTTTCCTTTCTCCTTTTATTTTATTTCAATTTAACATTTTTTCTCAATTTGTTAATTTTTTAATAATTATCGAGTTATCTTTAGACTGATCTAGTCAACTAAATTACGTTAAAACAATTCTCTCATAGTTTAATTTAAAACATGGATTAGATAAAAAAATCACTTTATTTTTTTTATTTTTAGTTTCATCATTACTTTTTAAATTTTATCCTTATACTTTGTAATTTATTAAGCAGGTTATCTTTGGAATAACTAGGTCGATTGGGTCAAGTCGAAATAATTTTTAAACAATATAATTTTAAATTGAAGTTATATAAAAAATCAGATTAATAAGTTTCAAAATTAACCTTCTAGAATGAGTTTAATAACAATATAAATTTCTATAACCTGATATATTTTATTATATTAAAAAAATTAATATAATGTAATTGTAACACATAAACTAACAAGTCACAACCAATTAAATTTATCAAATCATGTGAATCTTTTCATGTTTAACAGCAAGTCATAATTATAAAAATATAAATATTTTCATGTTATTTAATAATAGATTCTTAATTGCGGAATAAAGTAATTGCTAATAAATCTATTATAAAATGAACTAAAAAACATTAATGGTTTAATTCATAGTTTTAGGTTTCGTATAATAATTTACGAGGAAGAATGCATACAAAAATCATTGGGCTGCCCATCCGTGATTAAAAGGGAATTAAGTTCGATTATGATGTCGGCGAGGAGGCAAATGGAGCGGCCTCCGAAGTTAGGAAGAAGACAATAAGTCTTCAACAGGCGCCGAATGATGTGCTGGAACCAACTGCATATAGTAGAAAAAGCATGCACTACAACCTCTAATTGAAGTCACATACAGTGAAGCCGAAAAGGAAAGGATTATTTATGAAGACGAAGAGGAAAAGAGAGGCCCGACACTGACATCTTTTGTAATCATTCATTGGGGAGGAAGGCAGGGGAGGCTCATTGAGTTTCCACCGCAACCCCTCCAAAAAAAACCAGTTAAAAGAGCTATTCATATGATTTTATCTATATTTTTTCTTTCCCTCTCAAAATTAACCCAAGATATTAGTGTTTAAGACTTGAAGCAAAAAGAGTACACGGCTAGAAAGAAAAATAAAATAATTCTTTTCTGGATAAGGGACGAGAAAATTCCGAGCCCTGACGAGGCTGATCCAGCAATGCCTTGCCGTTCAAAACGAATTACCTCGGGCAAGGGAAGAGGATATGTTTCAATTTGAGGACAAGAAACATCATCTCCATGATGACATTGACTCCGAGTCCTCGAGCACGTATTATGATTTATAAAGAAGTATTACTTGTTGTATCCCTTTGGGAACATCCGAAAAAAAGTAACGCTCATATTCTTTTTTTTATATATAAATTAATCTACATGTACCCCTCAATTATTTCCGCGTAGTTATCAGACTTGTTTATTATATTTTTTGAGAATTTTTAATTGTGAGCTGAAATTTTAGAAAATAATAATTATATTATGGTGAAAATTTAGGTGAATTAAAATTTAAAAATATATTATTTTAAAAATCTGTATTATACTCTATAACTGGTTTCAAAAAAATTTATCGTAAGAATAAATTTGTTATTTCACTGTTTCAAATAACTGAGATAGATTCTTTTATTATTATTTTTTAATTTATTCGAGCAAGAAAGAGGACCCCTTGGCTCGACTGACGCGAAAACCTGTGCTTTTTTGTTTGTTTTTTTAAAATTCCTCTCTGTACTTACAAAGAAGCACCCTCCGTTTAAATTTCTATCACCATTAATTTAGTCTACAACGAAACTGCACTGTAAGTAACACTTGAAGCTCCCAAGAACTCCCTCTTTTTATTAGTCTCGCATCGCCCTCCCAACACACACACATGCATGTTCCCTTTCCATATCGCATTTCTCTCTTCACACCAAAACACGATGGAGATAACAGTCATATCAGCCCAAGGACTCAAGAAAACATCATCAGGCCCTTTCTCTCACCGTCTAAGACCCTTCATCACCATCACCGCATACCCGCCGAACCCACACAACAGTAATGAGAAGTGTCAAATGTACAGAACAAGAGTCGATGATCAAGGAGGAGTAAATCCGACATGGGGTGATAAGTTTCATGTCCCTATAGACATGGCCTTCTTTCAGAATCGGTATTCTTGTATTTATCTCCATCTCTACACAAAAAGGCTCATCACGGGCCAAGTCCAACTTGGTTGGTGCCAGGTTCCAGTTACTGATATTGGGTTTCTGCCTGAGGGTTCAGTAAGGTACCTGAGTTACCGGATACTGGCTAGAGATGGTACAAGGACTCCTGGAGTTGTCAATCTTGCTATAAGGTTAACATGTTTACAACAGGTTGCCGTTCTTCCAGATTCAAGAGCTTCCGACGAGTGCAAAACCGTGATCGGTATTCCGGTGACAATGTTTTCGCACACCAGCATTTGTCAATGAAAGTAAGGTGTTCCTTGATTATATGATAGTTGGGGACGTTTTTCTGGTTCAAGAGAGATATAAGGGATACACAAAGCTTAGTTCGGTAACCTTCTTCAATGAAGTAAATTGGAGTCAAGCATCTCGATCCGGTTTTTTCAGTTATTAATTGAGGAGAGGGAGTTTCCCTATATATTATGTAGCTCAAGATTCTTTAAGCCTTCGATGAAGAAAAAGAAAAGCAAAACCAACAAACAAGCAGTGGTTTAAAAGTCTGGAGCTGCTACACCCTAGGAAGTTCCATAAAACCCATCCCACTCCTCGTAGAGTTTGGGGTTTCGCTTGTTTGTTTGTATCGTTGTAAATTGGACTAGCTTTTACTGTTCGAATCCCATGTCTAAATATGGACAAATGGACAATCATTGTGGTGTTTGTTGCATCTTTCATTTTGTGTGATTGTCGTTATAAACGAGTGATTTTTCCTGGAATTTGTCTAGTTGACCTGGTTGACTACTCTTGCTGATTCATTTTTACACTACCGTCCATTTAAATTTCCTTCTTTCACTCCGTTTTTGGTGATATACAGATGTTAAAAATAAATTAAAAAAATAAAAAACTTTAAAAACACGAACCAGGGTAACAAAGTCATGGAATCGGTGCCAATGCGGCGCCGCGATACCCTTTTCTAACACCTGCACCATTAATCCATTAATGCTAAAAAACCAAAGATTAGAAAAAGTCAAGACAGATCATGATGTTTAAATTTCTCACTATAATGACAGCTTTTTAATATACAACTGAGTGACTGTTTTTATATTTTGAAAATATTTTGAAAAAAATTTAAAATTTTTATTTTTTTATTTTAAATTAATATTTTTAAAAAATAAAAAATATTATTTTAATATATTTTTAAATAAAAAATATTTTAACAAACCACAACTAAACTCCCCCAGCGTGCCGATTTACTTCTTATAAATGAACAAACCACAACTAAACTCCCTCAGCGTGCCGATTTACTTCTTATAAATGACAGCTGTTAAAGTTGATGGGACCGCTCGCTATGATCTCTTGCAAACCAATTATCAATCAATCAGCTGGTCTACTCTTTTTACACTAATTGCAATTCAATGTTTCGTTCAGTTCAATCCAGACCAAGCTTTAAATCTACCTTTTTCAAGTAAATTCACCAGGACGACCGGCTTTAAACTATAGATAGAAGTGTCAGTGGGTTCCAATGTGCGTTCCCGTGCTCCGATTGTGACAGGCTTAACTAGGGAGCATGATTTGCGTAAACAGATAGACAAATCCAACTGTTCTTATTGTAGCAAAAGCTTTCATTGTGATAGGGAGAGACTAATCAACAGTTGCAGACATTGACATTGACATTGACATTTCCACGAAGGCCCTTCTAAGACTTCACTCGCCTGCCTAGAAGTGACTTCGTTGAAGTTACAGAGACAAGCGTTGAATCATAAACTGCTAGCTCTAGCTGTACGAACCATTACCGGCTCGAACAGGCTCGGAAGAAAAAAAATACAAAGACCCTGAGGGGGGAGCGGGCGTGGGGTGGGGTTTGGGGGGATGGCGCTCAAACAAATTCCCATGACTACGGGGGACAGCAGCAAGTCGTTTCCATAACTGAACATATCCGTCTTGCCTAGGAAGTAGCTGGTTGATCATAGTTGATTTACACACAAATATATATGGTGCAGAATTTTCCAATGACTTGCAAAATAAACTCCAACTAGTTCTGTTGAAGTCGACACCACAAATAAAGATAACAAAATACCAAGAGGCAGCACTGTCACCGGGCCACATCCCTGATTTCAGATGTTGCTGCTTGAAGTTTCTTCCTTATTGATTTGAAACTGCTTTGGCCATTTTTCGGCCAATGAAATGAGGTACTTCGCTTAAGAAGATCTGGTATAAGAGGTGATCCAAAATTTGAATCCCTTGATGAAGTGTCATCATACTCTGCCAAAACACAAACCAAAATTCTAAAACACCTTAATCGCATGTAACGGCAATACTACATATAACCACGCTCTCGGCTTATTCTGATTTGCGCTTAATTAAAATTTCTAGCGGAATGCCATGAGTTACAAGATAAAGAATTTTTCCTAGCATGATCATAATGCTGAGAAACAGCCAAATGGGCAACACAGATCTTTACTCCAATTCCCCCCATCAAATACAGAGAAAGGGAATGGAAAGCAATGAGAAAAATTGACAGTGTTGTTCTGGTTAATGACATTTAGAAAGCTACTTTTCTCAGTTCCAGCAAGTGAAGGGTAACACATATTTCATTCTTGTTGCCCACCATTAAATAGCCAAGAAAATAAGATTCCATCCAACAATGAACTATCATGAAATAACAGTTCATGTTAGAAGCAGATGCACCAACTGCAGTGAGACTTATGATTTGCCTCGATACAAGGAATGAACATGACAAAGTTCCAGAGTTGACAGGGAAACCTAAAACCATTGTAATTTATTTTGTAGGAAGACGGTACTGCTTATCTACAGGCTGAATTTTTTCTAAGCCTATCAGAGGGCAAGTAGTAGGAAGCAAAACTCATTCAGTGTAGGGAGTCATTTTTCCTGCCCCACAATTAGACCCCCAGGTACATGTACAGCCTTAAGGAAGTAGACAAGACATAATATCCACAAAAGCAAGGGCCATCAAGATTGCCTCTGTATACGAGTGTGTATACAAGCATGCAAGTGCAAGTTTGTTTCAACTGTTTTTTTTATTATCCTTGAGATTAAGGTTAGAAAAGTTAGGATGGCTAAACACAGGAAGACGTGACATAACTGATGAGAACCTGAAAAGGATTTTAGATATTTTTATATTCAAAAGGAATTGCACGGGTATTGGCCTTCTATTTATTTTTGTTATTTCTACTCGTTTCTTTGGTGCCATATATGAACCAGCATATGTTATGTTTTGAATCGGCTTTGAATGAAACTACACTTTCTCAGCTCTGTCTCCCTATCATTGGTGTTTCTCCCTCTTCTCTCTTCTCATTTTGCGGCTGTTTCCAAAGAAACATTAAGGAAATACCAAATATCATACTGCAGTCACATTGAAAGGAAATATACCTGAAGACATGGGAAGTTCATATTGCTGTTTTAAGAATTTAGAGGCTTCTCTGTCTTTCTTGTGGCATAGCACTCGCACTAAAGTATGAGCATCATCCAAGCCCACGTGACCATATTTATGAGAATCCACTCTCATTGATATGTTTTCACTTGCATTCATCAGCATGCGAATAACTGTTTCAGTCTGCCAAAAGAAAAATTGTGAAACTTCCATTTCCAACATTTGGTTATGGAATATCAACCACTTAGGAGCTTCAAACCTTGAGGGAAAATAAGCCAAGTATTTGTTGGGCAAATTTCGCTTCTTGCTCAACCAAGGAACGAGGAAGGCCTTCTCCTTCAGCAACAAAGAATTCCTAGAGAGTAGTGATTGATATATCAGCAAGCAACCCAGGTTGAAATAGCTAGGGGCTAAATTTCAAGCACCAGGGCAACACAAAGGTCATAATATCAAGCAGGCCAAAATGAATTCACTATCATAGTTGCATCAAATGTTTAATTATTTGGGAAAACTTCCTCCAGACTATCAATATGTGAATCAAGAACAATTTTCAATACAAAATTGGTGATAAGCGACTTTCTCTAACTTCAATTTTTTGTTTGTTGCTTTGGAAGTATCAAGTAAAAAGGAAGTGATTTTTTAAACACCCAAAGTTCTGCCATAGATTAAATTCATAATGTATGAACATGTCAGAAAATGGAGGGGGGGAGAGAGAGAGAGAGACCTTCAATACATTAAGGTCATCTTCCATCATTGTGATATCTGAATCAGAAAATGCACGAGAAGGACCTCCATCCAGCAATACCCACACATAACCCTCCTGAAAAATGCACACGCATTTAAGCTACTAAGAAAGGTGAATCAACGAGTTACACGTAAGATAGGAGCTTACCAACGATGCACGACAGATGCTTAAAACCACAAGGTCTCTGAGAGTATCATCAATCAAACCACATATATGATCAAGAACCTACATCAGAGTCACTTCAGTTGAGAGAATGACTTTCACTGAGAAACAAAGCTCCATGATAAAGTTTCATAAAATACTAACAGAAGGTACATGCACACACATGGACATGACTCACAAAATCAATGTGTGGGAAAGAGTGAGAATGTGCATCCATATCTTACAGTATCAACACGAGGAAGACAACTTTCCAAGCGAGAACTTCCAACATCGCCACGATATAAATGAAAGAGGAATTGATCTCTCAGATCCCAAAACACAACTCTTGCTCCTAGAGGTTGCCAAGTGACATTTAGAAATTAAGGCTACTTCTCATACAACTTGAAATGCCAAGTAAATAGAAGGACATAGATGCAACAAGATAAAAGATAAAGGTCCAGAGATCTCATCATAACACAAAAACGAGGCAGATAAAATTAGAGAAGATGAGTCGAATAATGTTACCCTAGCATCTAATATCATACACGGACAAATATTGCCTTCCATTTAACAATAAAGTCAGCAACACAGCATTACTCAGAAAGCTTCACCTGAAGTTTTTGAACATGCAGATAAAGTTCCATTGCATACTTTGTCCAGTCATGGGATTTTCAGCCTGCCAGTTTCCCCGGTTTCATATATGGTCTCAAATCATATGTAGATAATAGGAAGTTGGGAATACATGATGGCCTGACCTTGGAAGGATGAGTACAGCCTCATCCTGACCTCCTATTAATTTTAGCATGTACATGCAATTTACCCATACACATTCAAAATGCTTTTTGGCATGTGTAAAAATGAGCAAGGTAAAAATAACACAAGTCAGACACGGCATCACAGTTAGAATTTGCATGCTGTGTTAATATGTTTCAAACAAATACAATCATTCTAGCTATCACCTTGCTTGCTTGCACTCCGGCAGTCATATAGCAGCTGGTGGCAGAAAAACTCTAATCCACAAATAGATGTGGCAAATTCATAATAGATCCTAGCTCACCAGTAAAGTCACACAATTTTCTGATAGCATCTGTTGTGGTGTCCCTGATTATGTGACATGTGGTGGCGAACAGCGCATCAACTGCTTCACTGCTTGTTAGCAAACTCCTCTCTTCCAGGACCTCTTCTTTCGCTGCATTAAAAAAAATCATCCATAAGAGAGCACAATTTATGCACATGCATGCATCTCCTACTTCTATGTATGGTTTCTTCATGGTTAAAGCTATAATCCCCACCATCACACCCATTTTAATCACTGTAGATCCAGCTACTGCTGCTGCTCTGCTGCTATAGTTACCACTGCTACAGTTATTATTCCAGCTAGTACCACTGTAGTTACAGCTGTTGCTGCTATACTCACCACTATCATACTACTACTATTACTATGAAACTTAACTTACTTTGTCTTTGGTCAAGAGATGGTCTAATGAGTCCCCATGATTTTCTAATTCCATCTTCTAGAATGGAAACTTGTTTCTGAATATACTGCATGATGAAACAAAATAGTGCAAAGAAGTCAGTTTATTAACCAATGTAACAAGTGTTGTTTCTAAACCACATGAGTAGAGATGTTAATGTTTCAACATAAAAAAATAGGTAACAGATTATGGACAAGAAAAACAGATAACGCATCTCTTATATCAAGACAAATTTGTATATCACAGTAACTAGAACATCTAAAAATATTTGTCTATAGGCCCAAGCAAAGCAATCAGGCAAGCATGAATTGTCTGGCCTGAGTTGAAATTTCTTAACCCAAACTCAACCATGGTGAGGCTAAAAGATTCAGGCCCCAGTAAGACAAGCCCAGAAGATATGTTGCATGTAAATTTCATTTTAGTTTAGAGTGTACAAAAAATGCCCCTCATTGATTAACCATAGTAAGAGTCAGGAAAAAAAGACAATTCCTTATCGTGATACTGTTTTCAGTTTTGGAACTTATAGTCCCCCTGGGACATGAACTATCTATGTAGGAATCTGGACTGCTTTTCAAACAAGAAAAATATAATTGAATTGGTCATTTTCAGTCTCTTGATCCAATCAAACCTAGCCTTAAATAACCAAATGCAGCTCGAAATAATTAATCTCAAGTTGATTCTATAGCCCGAATGAAAAAGAATATGTTAAAACACCCCGGGCTGAATCTTGGTTGACCCCAAGCAAGCCTAGCCTTATTAATAATCCTAATATTAGAGCAGTAATTCATGAGGTGTTCTTTAATTATATGCTACAATTGCCAGCATGTGTTTGAAAACGGGGGAAAAATGAGCATTATGAAAATTTATAATATACCTATGTAAGACAGTACATACAAAAACATATTTATTAAACTAGGGAGAGTGGATGGATAACAGAACAAACTGAATGATGGTACAAAATTATTGGACAAAAAAACACTGAAATTTTTCATAATTATTGCACAAGAAAATGCATACAACACCGCATGTAAATCACCCACAAGCTTCCCATTAGTGTTGCCATGTGAATGTGAGGTTAGATTCATTGTTCCAACACTCTCAAAATAAAATGCAAGGAAGTATTAATTATATTTGATTCTTATTGGGGGTTCCAAACTTGTTCTAAAGTTTCATATCATGCATGTATATTATAAGGTTTTAAAACATCAGTTCCTTGAATATCTACTCTCAAACTCCAAAATGTCTCTTTTGTTTCTCCGTCAAAAGAAAAAAGAGAAGAAATTGTTATATGTACCACTTCAACTAGGCATGCAAAGCAATAAAAAAAGAGTATGCTTGACCATAATAAATTGAAATGCTTACTTGAAGAGTGTTCAACCTGATGCAGAGTTTTGGTATAGTCAATTCATTCAACTTACGAGCAACATTCTCATCCAAAAGCGTACCAACCACCAAACTTCTCTTTATCATTGGAATAACAGTCTCTGTATAGCGAGTTATAGGAGGAGCTGATGGATAGAGATGGTTTTTCTCAACTGCACATTAGAGATATTATGATCAATGCCTTGGCTTAAACCGGGATTCCAGGTTCAATTCACATTAATAGCAATCAGTAATGACTTCTTAAGAACCCATTAAAAAAAACAGATACATGCTTCATGCTGGAATAGACACGCCGTAAATCCAAAAATACCTCCTCGCACCCCCACTAGAAAAACACATTTTTGGCCAAAAGTAAATAAAGTGAATATAATACCTAATTGATTGAGCATTTTCATCAAATAGGCATCCAAGCTGTGAAAAATCACAGATAGCAGGGCTTGTAAATGTGTAATATCCATAGGAAGATTGAAGCCAAATAATTGATCCACAGTCTGCACGTTAAATTAGGTGCATGAAGAAAAACAAGACTCCAACCTATAGTGAAAATATACATATTTAATAAACGAATAAGAAAAGTAACAAGAACAAGAATAGATGCTGTTGTACAAGGGCATGAAGTGTATCAAGGTCCTTGTGGCAGGCTGTTAGCTTCAATAAATAGGAAGGAACGACCCCTAGAATATTACAAGAAACAGTCTCAGCGCAAGGGTACCATGCCAGCAAACTGCAACTTCCTCATAGAGCACCCTCCATTTAACTTATATAAAATGCTATGGGGAAGAAACACTGCTGGATAGCTTTTTGCAACCACAAAACTGTTTATAATCAAACTGTCTCAAAAGCACGCATACCTCCTCTATAATCCTAAAAACTTCAACTATTGATGCCGCATGTCTCTGATGATATGATAAAGGCTCCCAATCCTGCATAAGCCCATCAAAAAACATGGTTCAATAATTCTCCTGAAACATTTATTTACATACCAATTCAAAATGTCCCTGAAAAAGAGAATTCACATATGTAACTGACATGGGATGCTAAAATCATTCCATGGAATAAGTTTTCATTGTTGAAACTAGTTAAAAATGAAAAAGATCTTCTGTCTTTCCTGAACTCACTATCAGCAGTGGCAGTATGTCAATCAATCACCAATTCTCAAATCAGAACCCAAACCAATATGTACCGAACAAAGAAAATAATAAACGGATAAATGTACTTAAGACACTAATTTAAAACCAGAGATCCCAACAAAAATGTTCTTCCCATACTTTTAACACCAATCTAGTTGAGCCTCATGTTTTCCTTCTCATTCTTTTCTCTGAAAATCAGTATGGATTTTCTGGGAAAAACTCTCTATGGAACATCAAACATGGAAAATCTTCAATCAATCGAGTTTTCAAAACCATGTTCAAGTTATTCACTAAATGTCACAAATACACTCCTCACAGTTATCCCATGCAGATCTTATCAAATTCTATAAAGCAACGCATTGCATGTTGTTTTGTATCTCCACCAACCACCATTGCAATTATTTCAATTCATTCAGTAAGATGTTGTGCATAAAATAACAGGCGGAATCACACATTATTTACTCCTAATGTTCTCTTCCTACCTCCTCTTCTTCCTCCTAGTTTTAAATTGATTTTAACAAGATGGATACATCAGCCAAATTACACTCCCATTTTCATATAACATCTTTGTAAAGCAGTATCAAACTAACCTCAATATCAAAAGCACGTCCAGTCCATTCTAAGATATGAGAATGCTGAGAAATCACCCAATCAAGAATGAATGGTTTCGAAATTTCTTCAATCTGAAATGGAAGGACAATAAAAATGTGACATGGTATCGAATTAGACTAAAATGCACAAAGTAACTCATAAAAAGTTCTGTAACAATGCAAACCATGCTAAGAACATGCTATCAACTTCTTTCAATTTTAGCTCCGAAACACATTCATGTTGGACAATCATTTGGGGACCAACACTGTCAGTTCCATAGACGATACAAAGTTTAGGGGAAAAAAAAGGGATTCTGCTCTATGTTAGCAAATTTCTGAACCATGCAATCCATGTCACGCCATCATTGATCCACAGTGAACCAAATGAGGTCCAGTTTGGATGGATGATGGGACATGATTTCAGCATCATCTTCTGATGCCTACATCATTTCCTAAACAGGACATGTACCACGTCAAATATCTTCCTCCAATCCATTACACAAATAGGTTGGAGATATACAAATAACCATACCTTGTGAATGAGGCTTATCGACAGTGCAAAATCACTCTAATTAAGAAATGCAATATAGAGTCGCTAAAAAGTTAGAAGTTAAACATATAGTAACCTGATAGTGTTTGAAATCTTGATTGAAAGAATTAGGCAACTTATTGGCTTCCAAAGCAGAAGCATATAGCTTAGTCAGGTACTGATCCAACATATAAGCAGCTGGAAGCACTGATCTAGCATCTCCAGAAATAGATGACACTCCCTTGAGGAAAGGTTTCTGCATTAATGAAAACAGAAGGTAGAATTTGAAAAGGTATACCAGCTGCAACTATATTGAAATGACTTCAAAATCTAAAACAAAAACGAACCAGTCTTTCCCCATAAAATTGGTGCAATCGCACAACTGATATAGTCACAGACTCAGGACACCAGCAACATAACACTGGGTGAAACACATTGAACTCTGTCTCAGCAATCAACTTCAGTTCTTTAGCAAGCTGAGCCAGGGGATGTATCCTTTCTATTTTAGACTCAAAATCCACCTTACTTGCTACCTGGCAACATTAACCCAGTAACTTTGTCCAAATCTATGAAATAATAACTAAAAAAATTTAAGATTGATATATAACTTTAGGTAGCATTGTCTACCCGAATGAGTGTGGAATGAAAGCAGGTATAATAAATGAAATCATAAACATGACTCACCTTCCTGAATGCAGCTTCAGTGGACTTTTTGACATAGGATTTAAGTTTTCTAGAAGCTTTAGCATCCAAAGCATTTAATTTCATCAACTGTAGACGTTAAAGCTTTTCATATGAGTATAGTCAAGGTTAGCCCAACTGTCCTCTCTATAATATCAGAAAAACTACATTCAACCATGATTTTCCGTAGAACATAACATCCCACAAGAATTGATGATGGCAACAAAAAATTTCTGTTCTTTTTTCATTCACAAACCTTTTCTTCAAGAACAATTAGTGAGGGTCAGGAAGGAAAAGAGAACCCATTCACGCCTATTTCAGGGGTTAGCAGATAGATTGGCAAATACTTAATCTTTGAGCCAAGATTACAAACTGGCAAAGCCACAAGAAGCAGTTTCTTAGTCCAGCCAAATATCAACTCAGGATAGGTCATGGGTCCAATAAGATTAGGGGCTACTCTGAAATTATGGAAAGAAACCATCCCCGAAAGTCTCAGAGTAAAAATCCAGTATACACAGAAAGTTGGAAAAGAGTCAAAGGTCAGTTAAAAAAAATTTTGGTAATTCAGAAAGAATTTTAAATGATCACTTGAATACTTTGGGGAGACAAGAAAAGGTTTCCAACAATTTATAGAGAACCAACTACTCGAATCAGTAAACAAAAAAAAACATGGTACATGTGCAATTGTAACAGGAGAAAAGCAGTCAAAAAGGGAATGCTAAGTAAGAATACTCAAACGTCATCATACTTCTCCTGTTACAATTGCACATGTAACAAGGTAGAATTACTAATGTGGATGCAACACAGAAAGCATCAAATTTAGAAGGTCTTAATAACATCTAAGGCAATAAAGTTAAATCATCCAATAACCAAATGCTCATCCATATAGTTCCCACTGCAGTAATTTCTCACCTTCAGATCACCAGGTTCATCAGAAGCAAGAACCCCTACTGCTGACACCAAGGATATTATCATTCGAAAGTTACAAGGTTTCTGAAATAAAACAACAATCTCCTTCAGCAAGAAAATCCAGCATTGCGGGCAGATTCACAGGTTATAGCAGGAAGTTCCCATGGATACAACAACTTTAGGAAGGTTAACAGAGGAGAGTATGAGACCAAGTGATCACATTAGTCCAAAAAATTTATTATATCAGTAAAACAGAAGGGCTCAATTGCACTTTATTCCTTCACAGATCTGATCTATCACAAAAATAATAAAGGACTTAACTGCACCTGTTCCATCATGGAGCTAATCCAAATTTCTTTGAAACCACTTTTTAACTCTTACAATTTAATTCCATTGTAATCAGCAAAAACTTATTTACACATTTTGTGATTTTGACTTTTCTAGCCTTCCCAACCAAATCTAGACACTTCAGCATATTCATACTTGTATCCACCCCCCCCCTCCCCACCAGCCCACACCCCAGAGAGAAGATCGAGCCTTTCCCAAGAGATATACCAGCCTTGCAAAAGTGCATGCATGTTGCATACTAATCACATCAGCGGAAGAAATGAATAAAGATCTAGATATCTTTTCTTCCATGTCTCATAGCAAATCATCTCATTACACCTAACTTATAGCCATGCGCTATCAAGATGAAAAAAGTCTATATGAACTTCCAAAATCCTTAAAGGCCTTAATCATTCATTATTGAGCACCGAAATCCCATGCTAGTGCTTCTATCATAAATGATGATATTCATTCACGTAATACTTCTATTAAAATCTCTTGATAATTTTTCTTATTCATAGATTATGATTTTTGGACTTGTACAAGTTGGAAAAAGTACGACATATTTTATGATGATACTTTTGACATTTTTGTGATCCCAAATAGACAGGATTTTGAAAATTTGAGGTCAGTGATAGCTGATGGATTTAAGGTGAGAAAAATTGATATATCTGTTGAGTGCTGCCATTATTTCAAGAAAAAACAATTAAGGCATAATGTTGTGTGAGACTGAATTAAAAATTTCAAGTGGCAAAAATGGGAAGGGACCAATTTTTATCATAACAATTTGGGCAGCACTAAAATACTTACAAAAGTATATGTTTCAATTCAAATTTGCGGGGAATACTTACAAGCTTTGGAACTGTGAGGGTGTAAATATTTGCAGAGCCAGAAAAAAAAATAGATTCAAGACCAGCAATCCAACAGCCAAAATGATACAGCAAAGTTACTGAAGGCTTGCAACTAACCTGACTGAAATGTGAATGATAATCTTGCAGTTTATAGTCACACCACATGCTTATTGAGACGAAAATAGACTGCAACAGATGCAACTTCAAGTGACTGCCATTGCATTGTTTTGTACATACTAGGCTATTCATATACTGCTCCTTCCTGTCATCTTCTTCAGTAGATATGACCTTTTGCAAGTGAAGAACTGCATTTTCTAATAGCATACTCCCACCTGTTCTAACAAACTTCAATATGAAATTTGCATTACAATGAATCCCAAGGGAAATTATGTCTAAAATAAAGCATGGTTTTACCATCACAGCAAGCTACAGTTAAGGAAACTTCATAGTGAAAGATTGGATAAGAACCTTTGTAATAGTAATTACTACTGAGGGAAAATAAAAGCAGAATATGTTACCATACTGAATACGAAATTCAGTAAGGGGTGAGTGCTGTGGAACAATTGAAGACTCAGATTGATTACACAGAAAGAGAAGCAGCTGATGTGACACAAAGCCAAAAAGAAAGGTCCACTAGAAATATCCCGTATCAAATGTTTTATGCATCAAGTAAAAATAGTTCTGAAGCAGTGTTTTCACATTTCAATTACCCAAGACCATAAGACCAGAAAATAGTGTTCATTCACATAGAAATTGAAGAATACAGCCGCATGATTAAAATTAATAAACCTTATATTATACTTTCAGTGTGCAATATACCTGTTGAAAAAGGACCCACCCATATAATGCATCATGCATTGCTTCAGTAATGCCTAAAGTAGACCAGGTTAATTTTATAAGCAGTAGCATTTCATCAGCTTCCTGATAAAATAAAGAGCAGAAAAATTAGCATTGGCCAAAATAAGACAAAATGACATCACAAAAGCTGTTTTACTAAACTCAGGCAATAAAGAAACTACCTCTATGAGCTGATCTTCATCAAGAACATCAAATAACCCAAACAGTAATTTCTGATAAAGTCTAATGTTCACGTGATAGATGGCAGTCCAATAGAAGGTTTCACCTTGAATACCAAATTGTGCAGGCAAGGATGATAGTTTAACAGCCACCTGTCTAATAGATGCTACAACTGCAACACGTTCAGAAGCAGACATCATGGTATCCCATTCCTACAGTATCGAGAAAACCATTTAAATGAAAAATCAGAAAAACTCAAAGCAATAAATTCGTTCAGTAGTCAGAATTTTTGTGATTCAAATGTCAAAAAACCACCATACCTTCTCATCTCTGATTTTAGCAACATAGCTTCTGATGGTTAGATGTTCATTTGTTGTACCAGCAGCAGAACATAGAAGTTCTTCTAAAATGTTTGCCTGCAAAAAAATAAAGCAAACACCACAGTAATTTCAAAGATTAAAGAACACCGGATTTTTTTGGGTCCAACTAGACAACAAGCCCAATAATAAGTTCGCAATATGGATAGAAACTACAAAAAGACACCATAACATAGAGTCCAGTGCCATATTCCGTGCACTTGCTTGTATAAAGGGTTTGAACATTCCATGTAAAAAACACCAGTAATTTCAAAGCTTAAAGAACACCAGAATTTTTTGTGTCCAACTAAACAACAAGCCCAATAATAAGTTCAGAATATGATTAGAAACTACAAAAAACACCTTAACATTGGTGTACATATTCCATGCACTTGCTTGTATAAAGGGTTTGAATATTCACCATAAATTTAGTATAACAAATTCACTGACCGCAATTTTTTACAGGGAAACACAAAGATCCTATCTGTCCTTAACACACACCCATACTACACCAGGAGGTCACCATAACAAAACACAGTCTGGATCTGAGAAGCTGACACATATGGGAATCAGAATTTCTGTTCCATTTAATAATTTTCCTGCAGTCTAGGGCCAAGCTTGGACTGTCAAAGCTAAGTCCAAGATCAAAATGGCTAGTCATCATGGTACCAAAAGTGCAGATTGGCTCCAACCAAAGCATGGCTACACCATAATAAAAGTGCCCTCCCTTAAAGTTTACAGGAAGTCAAAGCCAATCAAACACGTTCTGTGTAATCAAGGACACAACTCCATTAGTGCATCCACATTATGCAAAACTCGCCTCACACTCAAGGCCAGCCTGCTGATGTGTAATTGATGTTTTCATGGTGCACATCTAAACAATGGCAAATGCCCATTTGATTCACAAACTAGGGCAATGAAGTTCTTCGAACTTCAAGCAAAATTTCTACAGGGAAGGAATACATAATAAAATGGATACCTAAAGTTGATCTTTACCTGCCTACTCTTCCATTGCATATATGATCTTTCATTAAGAAAATCAGACTTGAAAGTTCCATTCAAAAGCCCAAGAGCAATATGGGTAAGATCAATTTGTCCACTCATTTTCCTTGCTGCCAACTGCATCAAATTCCGCCTAGTGCATGCATCCATTGCTTCTGAAATCTAGTAAAGAAGCACTAATTACTCCAGAGATTTAACCAGCAATTAAACATTGACAGCAAGCACAAGTATGCAAGCAACAAACACTATCAGGCTAGTAATCCTTAATTGATTAAAAACAAGACTGTGATATCATAATTAGCCACTTCAAAACCATCAATCCTGACAAGCAATGATACTAGATTAAAGAAGCATTTATTGCTTTCTCAATCCCTCCTTCCTTTCTCTCTCTTTTTTTTCTTTTAAGGTGTGGGGGAATCATGAGTGAGAATAACTTCTAAATGGTGGTTTTCGATTTAATACCTAGCACCTGAATTTAGAGATTGCATAGGCTAAAAGATAGTAATTAGAACTCAGCATACAAAAACTTAGCTTCCTAAAAACAAAGTAACACCGATCTAATGACCTCACCATGTATATTGATGCTCTAACGTGACAATTTAAGTTGAAATCTATGACCTGTCTTTATCCAACATCTTGGGAGACATTTCATTGTCAGATAATTTTTACAGTTAAAATGCAGAGTTAAAATTCGAAAATATATTTAGCGTGTTGATACATGTACATGGTCACAGATTAACTATATTACGAATGTTTGTTGAGAAATGATGGTGTTATAATACCAGATCTAAAAAACTCTTTCTCTTGAATTCACTAAGTAGCATTGAGTTGGAGAAGACTATTTGTATCACGAAAAAATTTCCATATAACATATTATTAAGGAATTACATATAACACAATCCTATAACTTGCCTGCATCTGAACACGGACAATGTCCATTAGTTCTGACTTTCTTCCAACAGACTGAGATTGTGATTGCATTTTATCCCTTTTACTTTTCAACCCTGACAAAAATTTAGAAGTCTTTTCCTTCCTTCTATCCTCAACTGAATTTGCTTCAACCCTATTACAGGAAGAACGCAAATATGAAATGAGAAAGAAACTGGGAGAATGAGAGGCGTTAAAGTCCACAATATATCAAGCATTGGAGATGCTAATGTGTGCAAGAATGTAAAAATGCAAGACACAAACGTTATCAAGACATGCACGAGCACAAGCAAACACAATCATGCAGAGAGAGAGAATACCCAGAAAAAAATATAGATGCAAGCAAAAGCTCGTAGGCTGATTCCCGCAAGTCGTCATCAGACAATCCTTCAAAAAACCTGAGATTATGTATCAGTGTCCTCAAAACACTATGAAAGTATATTTTTCATGTGAAATCTTTGAAACAGGGAATTAGTTGATGAAACTAAAACCTAACTGCAAGCATTTTTTTTTTCTCGTCAAGATTTCCACCTATAATTGACAAATGTAAAACCTAAACTATCCAACCCATACCTGTCTTTAGGCTAGGTAATCCAAGTGAAGGAATTGGAAATTCAGAGTTCTCTAAGGGGCTGGTAGGTGCATTTGTCGCCGGTTCATATCCAGGACCGCTGTCATCCCCAGACGTAGTGGCCTTCTCAACATGTACACGATCCATTTGACTTGATAAACATGATGTATCAGCCGCTTGTTTAGCATACAGAGGAGGAGGCGCACGCCTAGGGGGAGAACCAGCTGACTCTGGTTCGGAAACAAGAAAATAGGAGCTCCTCGTTTGAGAATGTATCTGCAGCTAAAAAGAAACGATTTGTTATTGTAGTTTCCAGAAATTAATCATCACAAAGAAGGAAGGATCCAAAAACTCTTCGATTAGCAAAACAACTAGCATTTATAATTCTATCATCTCCGTGCCACGTATCACGACATTTTATTTTTTGAACAGTAAATAACATCAAAGAAAAAATCGGCATTAAATGAACTCAGGAGCTTAATCTCTTTAATTACAGTGACAGGATAAGCAGATTCATCCGAGTACTTGTTAGTCGCTTCAGTAACATCAACGACTCCACCTGCTAAGAACAACACAGTTCATTTTTAATTATGCCCCGGTTTTCTCGGCAACCAAATAGAAAGTAAAGAGTAATAATACCTGATTTAACGCAGTGGATGATATAATCGGCGCTAAGAGAATCAAAATCGAGATTGGAGAGTGAATTAGTAGGACCAGATGGAGTACGGAGCTCTTTGATCAAACCTGACGATAACAGAAACTCAATCAGCTTTCGGCGATCGCGACGGTAGTGATGTAACAGCGTAGCTTGCTGCTCCATTTTATGCCCATACAACTAGGTACGAATAGTCTAAAACTTTCGAAAGATTGGGTTAGGTTACGAGCATTAGCGTTATTGCTAGGCTAGCTGAGGAACAAGAGTGGGAGCCGTAGAAACGAGAGGGGGGGTTGTGTGCGTGCGTGTTTTATTTATTTATAAAGAGAAAAGGAATATTTCGGGGGGCGCGAAAAGACGACGGTAAAAAGACATTTGCACCTTCCACAGAGATGCTTTTCTGCTTCTCTCCGTTTTTAATTTTAAAACCTAATTCATCTCCTGCGGTTCAAGCCCGTATCAGCCGAAAACGATTGCCTGTACTCCGCCCTACATGAGCCCACGTCCAGAAAAGGGCTGCATCCCAATATCATGAAAAATGAAACTAAAATGATTGAAAAAAAAATCGATGAACCCAAAAAAATTAACTAGACATGCAGTTTGGATGGCGAAGCACATCTAGAATAGTTTTTTTATTTTTTTGAAGGGTGGATACTACATTGCCTGTTTTTTTTATATTTTGATTATAGATTTTTTTTATATTTTGATTATAGTAGTTCAAAAATCAAAAAAAGTTTTTTATTTAAAAAACTCATTTTTTAACTAATATTTTTACTCAAAAAAATTAAAAGATATTTTAGATATCTTGATAAACATATTCATTACCTTGAAAAACTATATAAAAATCTGAAAATAAAAATTTTTTTGAACTCAAATATATTGATTTAGATAATTTAAAGGTGGAAAGTATCTAAGTGAAACTTCCTCGTTAAGTAAAACATGTCGATATCAAGATCAACTATTTTGATATTCAAAATAAGTATCAATAATTTATTTCTCTCTCTTATTAGAATCTAGGACTTTATCTCTCCTCTCTTATAATAGGGACTTGAAAATAAAGAAACTAAAGTTTGAACCACGATTGATTTTAAGGGGAAAAAAATCAAAAAATGGTAAGATTCAATTTTTATAATTCAAAAAATGTAGGGACTAAAGTGAATATTTCACCAATAAAAATAAAGAAACTAAAGTTTGAACCACAATTGATTTGATTTTAAGGGGAAAAAATCAAAAAATGGTAAGATCCAATTTTTATAATTCAAAAAGTGTAGGGACTAAAGTGAATATTTCACCAAAAAAATTGAAAATGTCATTCATCTCTTCCATGTTTTTTACTTTGGTTCCTTGTCTTTTAATTTTTTTCTTCCTGAAAAAGTTCAACTTAATTAGCCTTCAATTAGATCTTTACATGATAATTTTTTTTAAAAAAAAAAGGAAAAAAATCATCATAGACACGGTGAATCGATAGTTCCTATTAGTATGTGAATAGAATGCATGGTGGAACAATATTTCCCTCATGTATTTTGAAGTATTGTTAACTAGTTATTTGACTTGTACTCTACCATGAGTCAGATATATTTTTTCAACAAAAGAAATTTAATATGCAGGCTTTTCCAAAGTGTTTTCTTACATTAAAAAAATATAAGTAAGAACAAAACATTTATGCATGCTTCTAATTAAATAAATCAAGAATTGTGTCAAGAATTTTTTTTAAAAAAAAAGGTCATCAACAATAACTAAAGATGAAACTGAAAAAATCAAAAACAATTGTAGATCAATAAATTTAATCTTGTAATACAAGTCATTTACCCGGTTGTGTTTAATAATTTTTTTATTAAAATTATTTTTTAATTAATCAAATGATAATATAAATAAATACACATATGAAATTGACCAAATAGAATAAAATGAACAAATATTATACAAGGTTATACATATTATAAATAATATAAATATAAGAATTATTTTAAAAAAAATTAAAAATATATCAATTAAAAAAATTAAAAAAAAAAAGGTTAAGAGCTCCTAAGCTTGACAAGTCATACCAAAACACCTGACCCATTTAAAAGGGGCTCGCATGAAGGGGCTTTATTTTTTTAATTGGTAATGATATTGATGACATGTAAGCCACATCAAAGTGTCTGAACCATTTAAAAAGGGCTCGCATGAGGGGACCTTCTTCCACCCCAAGTTTTTTGAAAAAAAAAAAGTCAAAAAATATGTTATCTATTTTTTTTTAGATTTTAACCATCATAATGGCTAAAATCATGTTGATGGTTTTTTAATCTAGAAACTCATTTTAACACAAAAACACTTAAAACAACTCTAGACATCAATATAAACTCATCAATGACCTTAAAAATCTAAAAAATAAATTGCAAAAATCCTAAATTAACCCGAAACCAAAGTTTTTCCCAAGATTAGATCTAGTTTTTTTTTTTGTAAGAAAATTCTAAGGTGAAAAAACATATAAGTGGAACTTATATCATCAAATGAAACTCATTAACACAAAAATCGACCATTTTAATGGCTAGAATTAGTGTCGATGTTGACTTTCTCTCTCTACTATTGAAATTCAATGACTTTGTCTCTCTTCTCTCTAACCAATAACTTAAAAATAAGATAAATAAAGTTTTTAACTCAAATTAATTCTTTTTTTAAGTTTAAAAAACTAGAGGGACCAATATTTATAATAAGAAAAGATGAAGTTCACAACGAACATTATACCCAAAGTTCAAAAAAGATATTCATTTCCTTCTATTTTTTTTGGTCATGTATCTCTTAATATTAACCTGTCACAATAAATTAAATTAGCCTATGATATGGTCCTATAAAAGCAAAATAAAAAAAAAGTATAGGAATGAAAAACAAATTGAGAATAGTTAGTCCATGATATTTTGTAAAGGAATTTACAATGCAATTTACATAATAAATCCCTCATGCATTTTATATTTTGTTATAACTAGACAACGCACTGATATTATATCATGAATAGGTTTTCAAGTTAAATTTTAACAAAGTAAAAGCGGACATGACATCAATATTAAAGATGTGTTTTCCAGTATTATAATTTTTTAATTAAAGAACAAAACGATGATGTATATACTTAACAAAATGAAATTAAAAATATATGAATTGATAAATTAAAAAATAGTTGTAAACTAATCAAATACTAAAGCAAGAAGTCAATCTCTAAAAAGTAAAAGATAGATATAAAAGCAAATATTTTGCTTTGGCTATTTTTGTTATCTTATATGTTTACTTCTATTTATCTTAAAGGTTAATAATGATTGCCATATGCAAGTGGTTTTTATTCTAATAAACTCATTATGTATATACAACTTATTTATCTAAAAATTAATAGAAAAAATTTTAAAAGCAATTATAGTAATATTTTTGAAGTATTATGAACTTATAGAAACAATTCAAAAGATTAATTAATACTTAGAAAATTTAAATTTAATATTTTAAAAAATAAAAAAAGGTTATTGATTAAAATTAATTTAAAAAACAATTAATGAAAATATAACAAAATTGGGCCACACCCTTGGCTTGAAATAAAAAAAAAAAAACTTTAGGCCTACATGCCTAGCTAAATTTCTCTTTTTTTTTAAAAAAAAAGAAACAATACTTAAAATACAATATATTTACAAAAAACCAAAATCTAGTCCAATAAAACCAAAAGCAATATGTTTTCGGACATGATCAAGAGTTTTTATTTTTGTGAACAAACATGAAATTGTAGATAATTTACTTCAACATCTACAATTTCACAATTTTATATATATAACAAACCAATTAAAAAAATATATGGAAATTTAAATGGAATTTAGAGCAATCTATCAAACATAAACATGATTAATTTAATTATAGATAAAATTTATACAAAAAACTTGAGGGATAATTATGAAAGACATTTTATAGTTTGATTACTTTTTCACTTTTAAAAAACTACACTTTACATCATAGGTCAAATAAAAATATAAAAAAATAAAAAATAAAATTATCCTTATATATAATAAATGAGAAATAATATATCACACTTGCACTCTATATTTTATCTTTTACTGTTTTGTCTCTCCTAAAAATCATAATCTCTATCTTCATTGGTTACAAAAATCAATGCTAGAATTTATTTGTTAAACACTTTTGTTCTTGATAAAATTGAACTAAGACCCACCTCAACTGAGAAAGAATTCTTCTTGAAAAATGTAGTAGAGAACAAGTTGTATGCAAAGGTGCTTTCAAGGTTTAATGAAGGAGTTGGAAGGCCCGAATCTTCTCATTGAATTAAATCTTTTAAGAAAGACCCTATCTGTACCAAGCCAAAATTTCTCACCAATTTAATTCCTTTTCTATACCAAACCCATTTTAGAATTCTTTCTTCTTTTTTTGTGCCAAACCTATTCTAGTTTAACCAGAAGGTACTAATTAAACCTAACCTTATGTTGTCGTTTATTACTCATAAACAGATACCAGGATGGAGAAGAGCAAAGCAGAATGGTAATGAGGTATTAGGAAAAAATATTGATACTTCTTAGACTATTAGGGTTTCTTGGGCGATTAAGTTTTCTTAAACAGTTTAGGGTTTACTATAAATACATAATATATAACCCAATTTTTGATATAGTGAAAAATAAAAGCTTTTCGTTCTTATGGATGTAGACACATTGCAGAAACATGTTAAATCTTGTGTTCTTTTATGGTTTCTTTTCTATTACAATATCCATTAATAATTGTTACAGGTTTTTCATAATAATTGGTCATAACCTGTTCATGATGTCAATTATTTCTTCTGCATAACTCTACGTGAGCAAGTTTGATGGATCAAGCAATTTTGGATTATGGTAGAGGAGGGTGAAAGATATGTTAATGTAGCAAGGTATGATGAAAACGTTATACGGACAACAACCGAAAGGCGTGGATGATATAGATTAGCATGAACTAGAAGTGAGGGTTGTGGCAAATATCAGGCTTTGTCAAAATGATGATATGATGTATATATCATGGATGAGGAATCACCGATGATAATTTTTGGTAAAACTGAAAAATTGATAAATATCCAAGTCATTGTTGAACAAACTTTATCTTAGATAGAAATTTTCTAGTTTTAAAATGTAAAAGAGTATATATTTGAATTAGTATATCAATCTATTCAATCATATTGTTAGCAATTTAAAGCAAATTGATGTGAGGTTTATTAACAAAGACAAGGTGCTAATATTATTGAATTCCCTGCATGCTTCTCTTACATATGGAAATTAGTTATAAATCTTATGTAGGGA